CCTCCCTTTTGCCTTTATACCCTCCCTTGTTCGTGCATTGCAGCTGTTCACCTCTTGTCACTGGTAGTGGCCAGCAGTCAGAGATTCACAGGGCTCAGCTGGCAACAATTCCTCAAACCCTTCCAAGACATCCATGCCTTTCTTCTGCCATGCCATAGCTCTGCACAACAGCTACATGGCCACTTGTACATTATTGGTTGTGCTGGTTGCATAGACCAGTGCTGCAGGGCCCTGCCAATTCATATTTCAACAACCAGTGTATGCACTGGTCACGCTGTTTGCTGACCCGAGCTGAATGTGCAGGAATCTTGGTGCAGACTCGGCAGCAGCAGGATGTGCCCTCTCTGTCACATGTCCATGCAGCCTGATGACATCCATATATGAGTGCTAGTCATACGACCCATGGGTCTTGTATTACGGATATCCCATCATCTCTGTGCCTGCCAAAGACCACACAGGCTTCCAGATGCAGAAGCTCATTCTATCAGTGTAGGCATGGTCAATCAGGATGTTTCTGAAGTAGCTGATTTACAAACGGGACAGTTCAACTCCAGCTGTGGTTATGGTGAGCACTAGCATAGCTTTTTTTTCCTGGAGCTGACCAGCTAATTGGCACATGCTCTTAGTTTCTGTCTTGTTTATGGCTTATTCAAACCAAGCTGCAGGAAAATCAAAAAACTCACCTGCAGCTGGAAGTCCTCCTTAGGATTCGTCACCAGTGCACATTATTGTGGGGAAAAAAGACAGATGTTTGTTTGGCAACAGCTCTAAGTCTAGAAAGCTTGAGCAGCTTCCCAGCAGGCAGGAAAGATTCCAAAACTTACTTGGAGCTGTGGTTACACTGCCCTGTCCAATACATTTCAGTAGAACAACCTGAATAAGATTAGTCCAGAAATGTTTCCAAGCTTCTTTCTATTTATGGCGAGGAAATGTTTGGCTACGGCTCAGTCGATCCTGACTGCAGTGACTAAGCACTGTTAAGAAGTTCTCAGGAAAGCTAAGCATGCTTCTTAGACTTCAAAGTCTGGATTGACTGACTTTCAAAAGCTTTAGGGCTGTTAGAGGCCAAGCAGGGATCTTGAGGTCACTTCTGATGATCCATTTCTCATATACACTGAGTTTTGCAATAATTACCATGGTGTGCAAATCCCCTGCAGCCTTCTCTGGACACAACCAGTTACACTTTTGGGGCTCACGTACAAACTAATGACAAAAACCATGTGTGGACCTTTCACTTCATTACCTACCCACTGCTCTTGATTATTCAAAAACATCCTAGAATACACTGTAATTGGGTGGCCTTTTATTCATTCTGGCTCATGTGGGACTACAATAATTTCTTTCTTCTTCAAGGTAACACTGGTGATACATCACCCCACAAAAACAAACAAACAACCCCCTGAAAAATCAACCAAGGAGGCTCATTTGCACAGTGATAACTGCACCCTACAGTCATCTGTCAAGTTATTGTGAATATATTGAGGCAAAAGACCTAACAAGTCTGACCTACACTATTGCTCTGTGGGATCACACTGATATTTAGGACACTTCATGCCCCATTGTTTCAGATACCTATTAGGAACAGTGTCTGTTTATGTGGTATCTGTAGCATATCAATCAAGAAACGAGCAAGTGATCCCCTCTCTCATTTTCTAACAGCCTTAGATAACAAGATCAGTAAGAAATGTCAGGCAAAGAAAACCTAAACCATGTGGACTCATTTGATGGCAGGGATTTCCACAGCACTGCTGGTGCCTAAGAAACTTGTGAACATTTAACACTGACTCTGTCCCCACTAGGCTCTGTCATAGCTGAGTACAAGTGTTGGGTCTGATTGCTTCTTGTCCAGCTGTCCAAGATACTGAACTTTGGGCTGGAGTATAAAACCAGCAAGTGATTTCTGACACTGGAGGCTGGAAGGTCTAAGTGGGCAACATGAAGGAGGTTAAGAAGAATGGTCTTGTTTGTGAAACAGGATGAGGTTATTATGTAAGTGCTGGAGAGCCCAAAGAAGGTCTCAAATACAGCAGCTAAATCCTGAGAGATAAAGAGGATATTCACTGAACTATAATATTAAAAGGCCTATTACTGTTCCAGCTGGTGTCCCAGTGAACCCAATGAACTTTTTCACTAATTTGCTGGACAAATTTATTTAAAACATTTTTACAGGAAGAGCTGAAGTCCCAGAGACTGATTCATTGAATGGCATAAACCTGAAAGCCTGAGGGAGGATCTAGTGTTGGTGCAACCTAGTGTATATGACTTGTCTCAGTGTTTGCATGCATCAATACAATATTGCAATAATGAATGGGGTCCTTCTCTTAGGTGCTAATGTAAACTGAAAATCAAATCCAATCTTTCCTCTAAAAATGCACAGTCCAAATAAAGAATGCATTCATAGGCCAAGTACATAAGAAAAAGGGAGAGACTGTAATATGCAAAAAGAGAGCTTTTAATGTCTTTTAATTAATCTCCCAGATTTGAGGGGGTTGTTGCTGTGAATATTATTCCTATCAATAATAGGTTAGTTGTGCTATCAAAGCTGTATCTAGGAGTGTTTGCGGAGCCTCGCCTAAAACATACTGAACAGGACTACAACTTACATTCTTAGTTATACATGTGCCTGTCTCTACCTGTAACAGTTTATATTTACCATTCAAACGTGGCCAAGTTCTACAAGTTTTCTTCCCAATTCAGTGTGTTATAATAAGCATATGGGAATAGATGGGAAAATAGACATTACTACTGTAACTTATATACAGCTAAAATATGTTACAGATAAATAAAGATGCACTGAAATGGCACATATATATCTCTTAAGTTGGTTTTTACATCAGACATTTACATTGAAGTCTACTTCCTTCTTTTTCCTAGGACTTGTGTCATCTTTGGAAGCACTCTTTCACACCCTACCAAGATGATTTCAGGAAATGACCAACAGACCCAGTAACACAAAGGAACAGCTCTGTAAGTTCACTTTGCAAGAATATGTGAACTGTCTTGGTTTCTTTCAAATGCTTGTACATCATATACCTGCTGGCAATACAGCTGTAAATTAACAAGACCTTACCGGTCTAAGAAGAGTTTGTGGGATTTTTACTTTTGAGGTTATGAAGATGGCTGCATTGTAGCAATTCTGCTGCATTCTGATTGCGCTCATTCTTCAGCGCACTATGACACTGGACACTGTGCTAATGCAGCATGCCTGGCCATGAGGCTGGAAACACCACCTGAAAGGACCATTTTCCAGTGTGCCGAGCATTCTACTGCTAAGGCATTTGTCCTGAGGTTAAAAAATGTGAGCCAGCCTCTTGATTCACATAGAGATGTGGGCTCACAAATTTTCCCTCCAAAACGGATGATTGCTCAGTTTTAGCTGAAAAGAAGTTCAATAGCGAGTCACAAATAATTATGACAACATGACAGACGAATAATATCTACTGCCTGACCACTCACTAGATAATCCCAAACTGCAAGCTAGCAGTAAAAGAAATTAAGAGCAAATACAGAATGCTGTACAACAGAGGCTATCAGAACAAAACGTTTGACTCTGTGCCAGCTGTTTAAATTGGTTTTGCAGCCATAAGCATGAATGGAAGCACCTTCGTAACCCCGGCGCTCGCCTTACGACGCCAGGGCTGGCCGTGACCTGCCGGGCGGTGTCGGGCAGCTCGTCCGCAGCCCTCTGTCCAGCCGCACAGCGAGCACCCCCGGTGCGGGGCCGCAGCACCAGCACAGCGCTCGGGGAGCGGAACGGGGGTCTCGCATCCCTCCGCATCCCTCCTCTGGGCTCTCCCGCAGCCCCTCCGCCGCTCCGCGCTGTCCCGGCTCCTGCGGCCGCCTCCGACCAGCCCGGCCACGCCGCGGGACCCGCGGGCGCTGCTCCGGCCGCGGTCCGCACCAGCCCCGCCGCCTGGGACGAGGCGCGGCCGCGGGGGATCTCCCGTGGGAACCCACGCATAGAGCCCGGCTCCGCCGCAGCCGTCGAGCGCCTCCAGCGCTGCGCCGGCCGCAGGGACAGCGCTGCCCGCGGCAGCCTCGGGCCGCCACCACCTGTTACCTGCGGCCGCCCCCGCCCCGCCGGAGCGCAGCGCTCGGGCCCGGCCGCCCCGGCCCCCGGACGGCGCGGCGGGGCGGGGGGAGCGGCTCCGCCACATCCGGGTGCCGCCGCTCTCAGCGCGCATGAGCGGCCGCCCCGCCGCTGCCGGGCCGGGCGCCGCGGTATCGCCGCTGCCGCCGCTCCTCCTCCCCGGGGCGCTGCGCTCCGCGCTGTCAGGCAAGGGGGAGCGACCGAGAGGCGGGGGAGGCTCCCTCCGCGGCAGGAGGAGGAGGCGGAGGAGGAGGATGGTTGTGGGGGCGGGCGGCGGCAGGCGCTGGCAGCAGCCGGGAGAAGCCCCGCTGGTGACTGGCTGTCGGCACACGCAGCTCTGAGGAGGAGGTGGAGGGTGCTGAGCCGAGCCGCGGGGCTGCTGCTGCTGCTGCCGCTGCCGCCGCGGGGGGAGAGGCTGCGGCGGCGGGAGGGGACCGGCACACGCGCACACACGCGGACGGGTGACAGCGGCGGCTGCCACCATGTGAGGGGGCTGCGCGGGGCGCGGAGGCTCCGCGGGGAGGAGAGGCGAGGCAGCCCCGCACAAGCCCCGGCGGCGGGAGGGGCGGCCGGGGCGGGGCCGGCCGGGATCGGGGCGAGCCGCGTTCCCCGGCGGGCAGGGCGCGGGGTGGCCGCGGGCGGCGAGCGTGGGACCGGCGGTGGCGGCGCTCGGTGGGCTGACCGGCTCCTGTTTGCTTGGCTCCAGTCTCCGTCTCCGAGCCCGCGGGCCCCGATGAGAAGCGCCCCTGCGCTGCCGGACTGACGCCTCGCCGCCCTCCCCGCGGACGAGGAGGAGCGCGGCGCCCCCGAGCGCGGGCCGCCCCTGCACTGCCCTCCCCGGCGGGGGCTCGTCTGCCGCCTGCGGGGCGGGCGGCGCGGCGGTGACAGCGCGGCGGCGGCGAGGCCGGGGGAGCGGGAGCGCCGCCGCCGAGGACCATGAGGAAATTTAACATCAGGAAGGTGCTGGACGGCCTGACGGCGGTCTCTGCCGTCGCCTCGGCGTCGTCCGCCGCGCAGCAGCAGCAGGCGGGGAACCGGGAGACCGAAATCCAGGAGACGCTCCAGTCCGAGCACTTTCAGCTCTGCAAGGTGAATGAATGCTGCAGCCCCGAGCCGGCGGGCGGCCGGGGAAGGGGGCGCGCCGCCGCGATGGGCGCTGCGGGCTTTGCTCCTCCGTACCGACCTCGCCGAGCCTGCCCGCCGCTCCTGTTTACTTGTTTGGATTGATTATTTCGGGGGCGAAGACGGGAAGAAAGCGGTGGGTGTAGCTGTACAGGTCTTGCCGGATTTCTTTAGACATCTTTCTTGGAGAGTTTCGGGGTTTGTCGTCGTCTAGGCTCTTTCATGCGAGTAATACTGGCAGTGTTCGCTAAGGCTTCGTAGAAAGAGTTGGATGGATGGGGGAAGGAGTGACACTTAGCTGTAGTGCAGATCTGATTATCGCGGCGTTTGAGTAGAAGCCTCTGCTAATGGGCCTGAAGGACGGGGAAGCTGTCCCTCTGCATTATTTGGAAATTCTTTATCCTGTTCCTTTACGCCTGAAAAAGGCTTTCGATGTTTGTGGTGGTTTTCACTGCAGTGTGTGTTGCCAAGTTGGTGATGCTGCTATTGCAAATCCTATCTAGAGACGAAGTTCCCGTTTATTTATTTGCTTGTGTGTGATATGATAACTGCAGTTTGTGTCTTCACGCTTCAGAAAATGATGCAGTGAATTAACCACCAGCTGAATCAAGAGGAATAAAAGCTGATTGGAATATCAATACTCATTTTTATCTTTGTAGTGCACCTCTGGCCTAGCTGGACATGGATGAGCTTGTTTGTGAGCTCTCCTTGTTTTTTTCTGGTATTGCAGGCATTACTGCTGCTTTTCTGGAGTTGGTCACGAAGGATATGGAGAAGAGCAGAGCTGTTGCCAGTTAGACTTTATTCAGTTGTGAAATACAGAGAGTTGTGGGGTATGCCTGCAACTTCAGTGACATACAAGGAGTATATCAGAAGTTTGCTGTGTGTTTATGAGGTCCTGAAATACCTCTGCTTTAAACTAAAGGCTTAGAAATAGGAAAGCTGGTATTTGTATGGCTTAGGATGCGTGCATTTAGAGTGGAAGAAGTTGTATTATGTTCTCAGTTCTGATTAATTGCAGCCTGAGAAGTTTAATGGAGTCATTGCTTGGTCAATTACCAAATTAGTCTTGGCTAACCAAAGAAGCTGAATGTGCCAATAGTTCCATATTAAGAAAGAATCCCATGACTGAGGGGGTTTGCTTTTGTTCAGTGAGGTATTTTTTGGTTTTGTCAATTCTGGGGCTGCCTGTTCTCTTTGAGGGAAGTAGGGGGTGAGAGATTGGTAGGCTCTCTCAAGCTCAAGTTGCTGTTTTTTTTATTTACTGAGCTGAGAGAGGTTGCACTGTCATGTTGGGTCTGTTGGATTGAAATTGAAGTGATTCTCAGAAAAGCATGTATAGTAGTTTCTAATAGTTCTGATGACAAGTCTGGCTTTGTTGCCAAACTTGCTAGGAACATCTCAGATTTTCATAGTTTAGAGTCTTTGTTACAGCTGAAAATAAGATTACTCAGGGAATGAGGTAGATGAAAAAATGAAATGCTGAGTTGATACAGTCTTTATACAGAAGAAATGTAAGATTCAAATTAAGTTTCAGAAAGTCTGATTGTCACTTGATGCTCAAAGATGAGTAATTATGACTAAAAAAATGTTTTGTAACTGGTTCATGTAAGGCAGGTGATTTTCTCAGTCTGTGATTAAATTGCTTTGTAGTTCCTTTTTAAATTGTGATTAACATTGAATCCTGTTCTCTAACATACAGTCTTGATTCTGTTTATTTTTGGTATCCTGCTTGACCCATTGTTACTGCGCTGCTGTGACTTGTTAGACTGTACGCCATGGTTTCCCCTATCAACCTTCAGCCTTGGCATTTGATCCGGTTCAGAAAATACTGGCCATTGGGACTCAGACTGGAGCACTAAGGCTGTATCCTTTCGTATTCTGCAGTGGATTTAGTGCACCTCGCACAAGTGATGTCTTGATTGAGCTGCTGCAACCATTCAGAAGTCTGGTGGGAACCAGGTATGCAGGAGGAGAGAAAACCAGCAAGCTGTCTTTGCTGTGGGTAGCTTGGCTGTTCTGGTTGCTCTTTGTGTCAATTCAAGTTGTGTCAGTGATGTGTGGCACGGCTGCTCAGTTGCCGTTATCTCAAGTTAATATATAAATTTTGTGGAGGGTTACTAGTGTGCTGACAATTTATAGCAGCTGACTGCCAATCTAAACAGGGATGGGGGCTGAGCTCTGTTTTGTTGTTCTGCTCCATCCTCTGGGGTTAAAACATTCTGTGCTGCTTGGTGAGGTGATGTTTGTTTGGTGGTTTTTGTTGTAGGGTTTTTGGTTGGGCTTTTTTTTTGGGTGATGGGCTTATTTTTGTTTGGCTTGTTCTTAAGATAAACTTCGTAATGCTCTAGTCACCTGCTACTACTTCTGTGTTGCCAAATGAAGGTTTCAGGTGGGGACAGTAAAAGGTGCAGGAATTAGATCTTGCTAAAAGCTTCCAAGTGACTGAGAATCGGAATGAATTTGTGAAGTAAAGCACTAGTAACCCTGCTTCTTTTTGTGCACTAAAAAGTGAACTACCCATATGTTTATAGCCATATGGTACCACAGCCATATGCTACTATCCAAGCCATGTAACAACATATGTGTTTAAACTTTTATTTTAAAAGAAGGTGTCCTGTAGATTCTTTAATCCCCATTGCTGTTGCCAGAACCTTTACTTGTCAGCACAGAAGAATGGATCAAATTCTTTGTTGTCCTGAAATTGACTGAATTCTAAACATTATGGGGAAAGCTTAGGCCATCTTGCTAGAGACATTAACTTAATCCTCTTTAAACTGTACCTAAATCTAACAATTTCCTTTGGTGTTTATATTAGTCTCCAAGTGGACCTTTATTGTTTTTTTCTGGTATATCACTACCCTCTCTGCAAGGTTAATAGCCATAAGGGTGTTGACTTTTAAAAGCTGAATAAGTAGAACTGAAAAGCTAGATTTGTCTTATGAACTCGCCAGATTTCTTAACTCAGATCATGAGGAATAGGGCTGATAATGCCATGTTCTTAATGCTATATTTGAAACTACACCTGATTTCATAAATTTTCTTTTTGAAGAGGTTGTGGAGTTGACTTAAATGAAGAGCAAACTGTGTGTAGGTAGTGTTAATTACTCTTATATTGATAAAATAGATGCTAAAGCAAAGAGACGAAGAAGTAAGAACTTGGATTGGAGGAAAAGAGGAGATCAAAATGTACCTGTTTAGAGCTTACTCACCTGTAATTTTGGGCAACATGATGTCGCAGTTTGGATAATGATGACTCAACAACACCTGTTTCTGGGCACTCATCCATGGCTACACACACCTGTGAACTCTTGGAGTGTGAATTGCTTTCTAAATAATCGAGAGAGGTATTGCAAGATTCTTTGGGAAGGCAGCATTACTGTGAGAAAATGACAGGAATTGTGTTTTCTAAAAGAAGGGAAGAAGTTTCATGCAGAGACTGAAATGCTGGTGTTCCTCTAACTTGATGAAGATGAATATGCTTTTTTTTTAGTACTTTGATACAGCTCTTGATTCATGGAAGAGCAGGTTAAAAGCTGTCAGCTGAATGAGTAGCCCTGACAGCCCAGACAACACTGCAGAATTTGCCTCTCCTGTGATTACATCCTCTTTGTGATGGAGGAATGCAGGCAGAAGGAACAGACTCAGACATATTCCCAATGTAAAAGCAGCCTCTTCCTTTTTCTGCTGGTTTGAGAAGAGTGGGTAAGAGTGAGGGTTGCAAGAAGTGCTCAAAGATAGAGCCAACCCTCAGGATGCTTTGCCCACTAAGGTTTTTATGAATAATAAATTACTTGCAAGGGTTCGTTAAAGTGGGAGCCACTTACTCTTTAAGGCTGCAAAAGTGTTTTTAATTGAAATGAGGTATGGACTAAAAAGACTGAGTGTCAGTAAAGTGTTATTCATTGAAAAATTGTGAAAGTGCAATGCAAGTCCTCATTTTCTTCTGTGTTCATGCTGTGAGAGTATAAAAGTAAAGGAATGATTATGTTTCAGCTAATGTCCATTAGCATCCAGCAAATGGGAGTTGGATATTAGTGTTTTCCTTGTGTCTTCAAGTATAGGTACGTCTTTTTATGCTTTCTGTTGCGAGTAATCTGAGGAACAGGGGAAACAAGTTTGGTATTTTCTTGGAAAGGGTATTAATGGTAAAATATTCTTAAATCAAGAAGTGAGAACCTGTTTGAGATTTCATTAATATGTGAGGAAAATAATGTTACAATCCTGATTTGGCTTTGGGCTATTTATCAGCTAACCTCCTGACAGAGGTTCTCTATTTGGTCAGTCTTCAAACTGGCTATTTTCAATTCAAAACTAGTACTGATCACAACAGGTTAATGTGAGTTTTCTAAATCACACTCTTATCTCATTCTTCTTTATGAGGACTCTGTAGCCACTACTGGAAGGACAGAGAGACTTCTTATTCGCAGGTACAAATGTTTGCAGTTCTGTTAAAATTGTCTGTAAAAATAGAACTGAAACTTTTCCTGAAGAACCAAAATGTGTGGTTACAAATATACTGCCATTTCAATGACTTTGTCTTTCTTTATCTTAATGGATAAATATGCTATACATCTGCATTGAATTCTCTAAATCCACAAAGTAAATGTAAAAATGGAAGTACCTAAATTATAGCTGTCATGTTGCACTAATGGGATTAGAAATAGAATTACTACTCTGTTAATATTTTTTGCCTCTAGACTTGATGGGTGTAGTTTGTAACACAGTGTGCCAGAGGGGCAACTTTGCATTCTATGTGCATAAGCAGCTGTTGGTTCTAGATCCTGTAGTTTTAAGAGGGAGAGAAGTCTGTAAAAATACTAGGAAGAGACAGCTTTTAGTGTAAAACTTTAACCTTATGAGTCATGAAAGTTAGTTTGGGATTATCCACTGGTTTAACTTGAGCAGTATGTCCCTTGTATTCATTATAAAAAGCTTGATTAGTTACTAAGAAACATTTCTCACTCTTATTTAGCGAAGAGATTTAAAACCAAGCTTTTTGGAGGCAGACAGATCCTTAGAGAAGTATTTCCCCACCCGAAAAAGCAATTAATAACAAAAGCTCTCTTTGTTCTCAGCTATGAGCAACATCTGGGTTACTGTACAGTGTATAAGAAAAGTTACAAAGTGAGTAGCTCAGTAGAGTAGAAACCTTGAGCAGCCTTTAAGTCACCCTTTTCCTGAGACTAGGATCTGTTAAAGCAGTTAAGCTGTTGGAGTCTGTTTTCTCTGTTGCAAAGGAAATTGAGGGATGAGGTGGACACAAGGGCAGAAGCACTCTGCTGAGCGACATAAAATCTCAAATTATTTCTCCCAAGTAGTGGCTGGACATGCTGGTCTGGTTGTTCCTCTGAGTTTGTGGTGCTGGTTGGAGGATACTTTTTCCAGCTGTTTGAGGTGTGTGAGTCTCAGCTGGTGGCCTGCCTCTTGTGTGGCAGTTCTGCCTCAGACTCCCTCTTTGTGCTGGATTTTTGTGATTGGGTGTGATCCCCACAGGGAGCAAGTGTGCTCAGTATTGGTTTCAAACTGCTGTGTTCAGTGTAAGCTGCTGGTGGCCTCTTTTGTCACTATAGGTCTTTGGTTTTCTCCATACTTGAAGGGATTTAGCTGCTGTTACAAGGGTGGCTTTCAACTCTTGATCTACTGTTGCAACATGTGAAACATTAAGTAGTTAAAAATTCATCTATGCTTTGCTTCTTTCCTGTGCATACCTGAACCTTTACAGTAGGACATATAGTCCTTGGTGTTACGAAAGTTTTGTGCATAATTGGCTGTGCTTTGTTTTCCCAGCAGATATCAAAACCTAATGATTTAGAGTTCAGCTTATCTACTCAAGGTTTAACTTGATGTAATTGGATAGACTTTACCCTGCGACGTCCTGACAGTGCTCAGTGTCATAAGTAATAGCCCTGCTTCTGTGCTCTTCTACTTAGAAGGCCCTCTGGAAGCATAATGTAATCTGAACAGGGTGTTGTGTAGATTCTGAAGAGGATAGAGAAAGATGTCATGAACTCTTTTCAGGATTTTTTTTTTGCCTTTAGGATGGTGTTTCCTCAGAAGTTTTAAGTCCAGGGCTCTGTACAATTAATAATAATAGTCAGCTGAGCTTTTTTTTTTGTTTGCCTTTATAAGGTAGAATAAACTTTGAAGCTAAAGCAGAAACATTGAAGGAATTCTCCTGGTCCCTGCTGTTTAACTGCTCCATCTTAAACAAGTTTCTTCATTTTCCGACACTTTAATTTCTATATAGCGAAACTAGGGCAATATATCAAATCAGGTGTTTTGTGATAGTCTCCCAACATGAATACAATAGCTACTGGTGCTTCGTGCCTTAAAAATACACATTTGCAACATGAAGTTCAGCCTCTCTCTTGATAGAGGAAGTTCTAGTAAGGAAGACCGTTTTTACTGGAGATAATTGAGAATGGAGTACCTGTGGAGTGTGGTACCTTCCACACAGACCAAATTCTGCCTCTGACTCTTTATTCCTCAGCAGAACAGGTTATTTAATTAAAGTTGGCTTTTCTTTTCCTTTTGCAAACCAAGTTCACAGGAAGGAGAAAAATTGGATTGTTCATCATCCCATTGTTAAAAATCTGAAGATTCCAATCGTCCTGAATGTCAGTATCTGTTAATTTCCCCACAGTCTTTTCAGCACTAGAAGGCGTCTTGTGCAAGCAAATGGCTGAAGTTTTTGTGTTTGGGGTATATAAAACTTGTTTTCTGTAATTTCCATTCTCCAGCCCTTTTGAGAACTCACTTTTTTAAAAAATCAAAATAGCTCAAAAACCTGGGTATGTGGTTCCATGCAGTCAATTTCTGATGAAGCGTTTGTTGCAACATCTGGAAAGCTTTGCCATAGATGT